GTACTGGGTCAGACCAAAGGTCCATCTAGCCCAGTAGCCTGTCTGCCGACAGCGGCCAACACTAGGGACCCTGGAGGGGATGGACCGAAACAATGACCAAGCCATTTGTCTCGTGCCATCCATCTCCAGCCTTCCACAAACAGAGGCCAGGGACACCATTTCTACCCCCTGGCTAATACTACTCCGTGGACCCAACCTCCATGACTTTATCTAACTTCTCTTTTAACTCTGTTATAGTTCTAGCCTTCACAGCCTCCTGCAGCAAGGAGTTCCACAGGTTGATTAAATGGTTTGTGAAGAAGACCTTTTTGTTATTAGTTTGAAGCCTGATACCCATTCATTTCATTTGGTGTCCTCTAGTCCGTCTATTATGGGAACTAATGAAGAACTTTTCTTTATGCACCCTCTCCACACCACTCATGCTTTTATAGACCTCTATCCTATCCCCCCTCAGTCTCCTCTTTTCTAAGCTGAGAAGTCCCAGTCTCTGTAGCCTCTCTTCATATGGGACCTCTTCCAAACCCCTGATCATTTTAGTTGCCCTCCCCTCTCCCACCCTCTCTCTTCCCCTCTCCCACCTCCTTTTCCCAGTTTCCCTGAGTTTTGTTCAATAAGGAGAGTTTCTATTTTTGAACACACGTGTCCTTTATTTTGTACATCAGGAAGGGGGGCTAGGGAGGGGTAAGTGGAAGGAAGTGAGGGAGGAATGGGGTATGAGCCCCCGATGGGGAGGACTGGGGTGGCTCTGCGGGCTTCTCGGGGTGGAAGCTTTCCTGAAGCCCCTTGATTGACCCCCCCCCTCCGGATGGCAGCCTTCGGCAAGTGCAGCCGGGCTGATGGCCGAGTGCTGTGATGTGCCGAGTGTGGGCACTCAGGGCACTCCAAGCCAGGACTGCTTTGCAAGCGGGGAACCCCTGAGAACTGTCTGTCCGGGGTGGGGGTCGGGTCCCTTTAAGCACAGCCCTCGGCTAGCCTGAGGCAGCAGCTCCACACTCTAAGTCCTAATCTGATGCCCTGCCGGCACTGCTTCCGGCCATCCTTAAGCTCTGTTCAGGGTCCACTCAGTGTGGACATGCTAGTTTGAATTAGCAAAACGCTAATTTGAACTAATTTTTAAGTCTAGATGCACTAGTTCGAATTAGCTTAGTTCGAATTAACTAATTCAAACTAAGTTAGTTAGAATTAGTGCTTTAGTGTAGACGTACCCTAACAGACAGCAAAGAGTCCTAGCCTGCAGGTATTACATAAAAGTAACCTAGTCTAAAAAAAAATTCACCCCGTTCCAAATGCTTGCAGCTTAATGAAGTAAATGAGAGGTGCTGAGTGCTGAGCATTTCTGAAAACCAGGCCATTTATTTGGGTGACTAAATATGGATTTAGGAGCCTAAGTTTAGGAAACTAATTTTGAAAATCCTGGGCTCAAGTTTCAGCCAAAGCAACTTGGCCAATGATACAGAGACCTGGGAGAGCTAGGATTAGACCTCTAAGCCATCTTATTTTAAATCCTTTGCTTTATATAGTTCTCAGTAATGATGGATGGAAGAACAAGGAGCAATGGTCTCAAGTTACAGTGGGGGAGGTCTAGGTTGGATATTAGGAAAGACTGTTTCACTAGGAGGGTGGTGAAGTACTGGAATGGGTGGTGGAAACTCCATCCCTAGAGGTTTTAAAGTCTCAGCTTGACAAAGCCCTGGCTGGGTTGATTTATTTGTGTTTGGTCCTGCGTTGGGCGGGGGGCTGGACTTCGTGAGCTCCTCAGGTCTCTTCCAGTGCTATGATTCTATGATATACTAGACCATTCGTCCCTTTCATCTTACTGATATTTTCTATAGCTTTCCAAGAACAGTAAATAATGGTTTTACCTCCGCCATGAACTGAGGTTTGCTGGATGTGACTTGAGGTTCAGTCAGAGATTCTGTCGGAAGAGGAAAAGCTGTAGGCTGAAAAGGAAACAAACACCTGTTACAATGCAACCCAGTGTGTGTTCAGTTCCCATTTAAATTGTGACCTTTCTCTCGCTCCTGACAGCCAATCAGCATTCCAGCTCTGGATTCTGAAACACTCCAGCAGCTCACGCATTGATTGGGATTTCTGACCAACTGCTGAGACGGTTTAATGTGCCTTCTGGTACACTGTTATTTAAGGGAGTCCTTCCTTTGAAAAAAGCTACTTGCGATCAATGAAAGGCTGTGAATGCTCAATCTGTCCAAAACAAGGTGCATTATTTATGTGAAAGTAATGTACACCCTCTCACTGCCATCTTATGGAATAAGGTGTCAGGTCCTACCCCTCCGTAGCACTGGCAAGACTGGATGTCACTCTGGAATCTTCACATGCATCCCTGGGAGTCTATAGTAAACAGGGTCCTCTGTACTACCCAAAATACTGTACCACAGGGACATGGCCCATGCAGCTGAGCTCCACCGAATAGGAACCTTGGCAGTCGCCGGTGCTTATAAAACCATTTGACAAACTGTGTAGCAAATGATGTGATTAAACTAAAGGAGAGTGGTGCTGGAAGGGGCTTGCACCAGGAGGCAGCTGCTAGCCAGCTACACAAGAGCAATGTGCGATTCTTGCAGGAGCATCACATGGCAGGTGTCACCTCCAGCAGCACAGCCCCACAGATGCAGAGCTCCATTCTGACAGAGTTCTGGGCCCCAGTTTTAGCCAGCTTCCCCTGAGGGCCTCTCATGGCTCCATCCAAGAACTGTTCAGCCCCTCAGGCTGCTTCATCGCCCTCACCCTCCTGCTTCCTCACACTGCCAGATAGTCCCACTCCTGAGGAGCCCCTAAAATGGCTGCCTGAGGAAGTGGAAGATGTCAGGAAAAGGGCCACTTGTTTAAATGGATGTTAAGGTTTTCCTGCCAGCTTGTCAAAAAGATAATGTATGCAGCCCATTGTCTCACCCCCCGATCATGTTGTACGGGAGGGAGAAGGGGCTGATAGTGATTAACAGCAGAGTTACAAGGAGCATCATAAATTTTACAAATGTCTGCACAAATTATGGTTTACCCAAGGGTGAGCATAATGAGGAGAAATTTCTGACATGCTAAATTCCCCTGTCCTCGGCTTATCATTATATATTTACAGTTCAGCCTTGATTTTTACTGCCAGGAAATGCCACTGCTTAATGAATGATTCTGAAGTGAAAAACATTCCTTCCCCGTAGATCCAGTACCCAGTGGTGCAAGTGGAATCCATTTCTTACCAGTATGGGGGGGGGGAGCATCTAACAGGGGAGCGCATGACCCTCCATGTGATTCTGCCACAGCCTGCTCCCAGCCCTCAGGCCTTGCTTTCCCCATCTTTCCCCATAAGCAACCCCTCTTACCTGGGGTAAGGGGGGGGGGGTCTCTGTCCTCCTACTTCACAGGAGACTTTAGAACCACAGCAGGGAAAGGAGCAGAATACCAGCAGCTCCTCCCACAGTCCAAGCCTTTCCACACAGTTGCATCTGTCTGGGGTCTGTACAGCAGCCACGCCAGAGGACGGGGCTTGGAGCAGGACAGCCATTCAGCTCCACTCCCCACTGCCGTTCTCTGGGACAGCCCAGAATTGCAGCACTGCCCCTGAGAACCACTCAGGGAAAAGAGCAGACTGCGGGCCATCAAGTGGCTCATGCCAGCATTCCCTGTGGCACGGTGGTACTATCCCCTTCTATGTAGGGTCTCCTCTGTCTGGAGAGCAGCCCTACTGGCGAACAGAGCTGGGGGTAGGACTGGGGAACAGCCACGCCAGGGAATCTACCACTGTGGAGCTACCGGATAGTGCCACATTCTGCGCCTTTCCCCTCAACTGTCCCTAAAAGAGCAGTGCAGAGAGCTCTCCTGGGAACTGCAGGAAGGAAAAGAGCAGAACCCTGGCAACTCCCCAGGCCTGGCTCTATCACCCCCAGCCCTGACCCTCTCCCCACCCTGTCCTCCTGGGCTGCTGTACGGACCCCAGACAGACACGGCCGTGTGGAACAGCTGGGGCAGGAAAGCAGCCCAGAGAAGCGGCCAGCATTCTGCTCCTTTTCCCACTGTGGCTCCCAGGATTGCTTGAATTGCATGGCTCTCCTGGGAACCACAGGGAGTAAAGGAGCAGAATGAATTGCCACCGGGTGACCCCACACCAGCACATACCCCGCACCTCCCGCGCGGCTGTTCTGCCAGATTCCCAATCCTTTCCTCCAGCAGGGCTGCTGTACAGACGGAGGAGACCCTGCGTGAAAGGGCTGGCGGTGGTTCAGCCACACAGAGGAGCGGCTGGCATGGGGCCGCAGCCTGTGTCTTTCCAGTATGCTGTACTGGCTATAAATATCTTGTTGGTACAGCAGACCAGAGTGGACCAGACCACCCTACTTGCCCTGCTGTCACTACCTGAGTCCACAGCATTTCCAAGGCCTATTAGAGCAAGAGATTGCATGAATCCTGTCACATAGAACTCAGAGCTTACATCATGTTTTCAAAGGGCTGAGAAAATAAACCTAAAACACTGATATCTAGACCCAGATTTTCAACATTCCAAAAGTCTGAGGGGTGTTTGTACATAGGGTTTTCAATTGAGCTCATCTCAAGTGCAAACCCACCAGCCAATTAATGATAACCTGCATTTTGCATTTAAACTCTATTCAGATTCTCCATGGGAATTGTATTTGCCTAACTTATGGCAGAATTTGGCTCTGTGTTTATAAAACAGTATAATTTTGTTTTCAGACTTATAATTAAGTTAATTTGTTACATGCAAAATGTTACACTTGCTACACGCAGAGAGCCCACAGAACAAGTGGAGATCTGAAAACTTGCCTCAAATAATTGTAAAAGCTTTTTCCCAGCACCCTGAATAGCAGGAGGAAAAAGAATACATTAGAGCCTGCAAAAATCATAATATACATCTTACCGCATTTTCAAGTATGGCACTGGTTGTATTCTGTGCGATGGCATTGTGCAGAAAGACCAGCAGCACAGCCAAGTTTGCACACTTCATCTTCTCAGCAAACAGATGTGTTGGAGAACGGACAGCGGGAGCCCTTTTATAGTATGCTTTGGGAATTCCCCCAGCAGGAGTTCTGTGCTTAGAAAGGGGAACTTGTGTAATATTTATTGACACTTCTCATAAAGGTGATGACATGCAGGTGAATGTCACAGCACAGAGAGTGACTAACTGAACAGCTATTATACAAACGTACTTTTGATTGCCTGCTGTCAAAAATTAACCACCCTTTCCTTCTGTAACACAAAACCTTTCCTCATTGCCAGTGCCTAATCTTGTTCTCGGAGGCCCACAAATGATTAGGTACACAATGAACAGATCAATTAACTTGATAGCACTGCAATAATTAAAATGCATTCTTTGGTGGGGGAGCATAGCTCTCGATCCTTTCAGGAGCACATAGACAACCTCCAATGGGGTGAACGCAGCTCAAATGTGTTCGTTTCAAGTACAATGCCAAAGGAGCATAGTGAGATTGACCTAAAGACCAAAGAAGGTTGGGGGGAGGAGAGCTGAGCAACAGAATAACCATGACAAACCTGCCAGATAATGTTAAACTTAAAAAACAATAAAAAGTCTGGTAATACTTTAAAGACTAACAAAACATGTAGATGGTATCACGAGCTTTCGTGGGAAAAACCCACTTCTTCTGGGCTACATCTACACTGGCCCCTTTTCCGGAAGGGGCATGTTAATTTCACCTATCGTAGTAGGGAAATCCGCGGGGGATTTAAATATCCCCCGCGGCATTTAAATAAAAATGTCCGCCGCTTTTTTCCGGCTTTTAAAAAAGCCGGAAAAGAGCGTCTACATTGGCCCCGATCCTCCGGAAAAAGCGCCCTTTTCCGGAGGCTCTTATTCCTACTTATTTCAAAGTAGGAATAAGAGCCTCCGGAAAAGGGCGCTTTTTCCGGAGGATCGGGGCCAATGTAGACGCTCTTTTCCGGCTTTTTTAAAAGCCGGAAAAAAGCGGCGGACATTTTTATTTAAATGCCGCGGGGGATATTTAAATCCCCCGCGGATTTCCCTACTACGATAGGTGAAATTAACATGCCCCTTCCGGAAAAGGGGCCAGTGTAGATGTAGCCCAGAAGAAGTGGGTTTTTCCCACGAAAGCTCGTGATACCATCTACATGTTTTGTTAGTCTTTAAAGTATTACCAGACTTTTTATTGTTTTTTAAGTTTATCTTGTACAGACTAACTCAGCTACCCCCTCTGAAGATAATATTAAGACAGTCAGTGTTAACACCCATCCTACAGCTTTGGTACCATGGCTCCTGACGCAGGAATGTTTGAGTGTAAACAACTAACCATTTAACTGATAAATGAATGCTTATTTGTTAACAGTGTCTGTTACACTCAGCGGAGCTGCTTCCCCAGGAACGGGGCCTGCAGGGTCTGGTGGTCCTGCTCCCAGGAAGGTTTTGCTGTGGGCTGTGGGCATAGCTTTATAATGTAGGTGTAACCGCTGAGATTTTCAATGATTACATATCAATTATCAGAGGGGTAGCCGTGTTAGTCTGAATCTGCTAAAGCGATGAGGAGTCCTGTGGCACCTTATAAACTAACTGAAGTGTTGGAGCATAAGCTTTCGTGGGCAAAGACCCACTTCGTCAGATGCATGTGTTTACATGCATGTGTTTACATGCATGTGATTACATACTTACCCCATTACATGATTTTTAACATCCCTAAGGCTATGTCTACATTACAATGAACTGTCCAGAAAAGGTACACAAATTGCTGCAATTTGCATACCTTTTTTCATAAGAGGCTTTTCCGAAATTTGGCCTGTCTACATTGGGCCAAATTTTGGAAAAGCCTCCTTTTTTGGAAGAGCCCTTCTTCCTTGTGGAAGGAGGAAGACAGGGCTTCTGAAAGAGCACATCTGCTCTTCCGCAAAAAAAAAAAAGAGGAAGAGCAGACGCATTGCCCTGTAGTGTAGACATAGCCTAAGGGGGAAGATCAGGGAATGGCACACTGTGGAAGGACCCTGTGGGCTAGAGCACTAAGATCTGCATGGTTTGCCTGCAGATTTCAAGATATTCATGCAAGTGCTGGTATTCTTTGCTTCTGATGAGTTGGCTAGGTGGCATATTTAAACACTACCACTTCCAATATTTGCTGTAGCCAGGTTTAGAGGCAAGCAAGAACAAAAATGGCTATTCAGACATCACTAACCTAGCAGGAAGGCTAGGTATGAGTTTGGTTGGACATTTAAGTCAGTTCCCCTACACTTAATTAGTGTCTGCAGTTCTATTTCTAAATAATAGATACTGTGGAGAATGCAGCTTGGGGTGTGTCTAAACTACAGGGATAGTTGACAAAACTATACTTGCGTCTACACTACCACTGAGTTCTGTCGCCAGTAAGTCGACAGAAAGCGGCAGTTTTGTTGACAGCGATAAACCTAATTTTACGAGGAATAACGCCTTTTTTTGACATTTATGTCGAAAAAAGGCGCTATTGCATCCACACTGTGCTTTTTCAAAAGAGAGTGTCTAGACTCTCTGTCGAAAAAGTGGCTTTCTTTGTCGACAGAACTGGCTGTAGTCTAGACTCTCTTTTTCAACAAAGCCTCTGTCGACAAAAGCCTGTAGTCTAGACGTACCCTTGGATACTGGTTTCTGTGTACTCTCTCTTTAAGTGTAACAAAATCGGAAAGGGGTAGGATTCTGAGACTTATCACAGAGAGTCTGCAGCATCTGAGTGCCATAGAACACAAATACTCTCCCAGCAGGTAGGTGAGGCAAAGGTGGCACAGGCTGAAGGAAATTACTATGGCATCTGTAAGCTCTGGGGATTTCCCTTACACAGGAGAAACCCCATCTGACCAGTTCTGTCAAGTTTCTGGCCGGTTTATGCTGGCAGAACAGCGCAAAGGGGCCTCATTGTGCAGTGCTGCCCAGTATTGGAGCACAATGTTCTATCCCACCTGTTTCCTGACTTGCAAAACAAGTTAGAAACTTCGTGTCTTTCCAAACATAAGGTTGTTCCAGTTCCTCTGAATAATAACAGGATTTCGCATGCACCACATCATCCTTCTGAAACAGGCAAAGAGCTTTTCAGCAGTAGATTAATATTATCATCTCCATTTTACTGAGGGGACAACTAAGACTGAGACCAAAACTACACTAAAACCTTTTGTAAGTATAATAATGTTGATTATGGATGTGATTTTTTTTTTACAACACTAGCTAAAGCTCTACCACAGTTATACCAGCATAAAAGTCTCTAGTTTCTTTGTGGAACTGGTAATAAGCTATAGCAGCAAAAGCACATATTTGCTAGTAGATGCTGAATGTAGACTAGAAGGATTTTGTATAACAATACTTGCAGAGACATACCAACAAGTCTTTCTCTGCTGTAGAATAAACCCTGAGGGTATGTCTACACTGCCCACTTCAGGCAGGGCATTAGGACAGCAGTTACTTCCTAGAGCTGCTGCCTGAGGCTATCTGAGGCGCATGCTTAAAGGGACCCCCCTGTATAGCCGTGTATCAGGCTCCTCTCTTTTGCCTACCTCATTGAGGAACAGCAAACCCATCCCTTTGCCTGCTGTGGTTGCCCTTGTGGACACCTCAGCTCTCTAGCCATGGAGCTGGAGCTGTCTCCGAGCACTCAAGGGCTCTTACCTATTGAGCTGCAGCTCCTGCAGCAGTTTCTGCAGGCTGCCTTCCTGTCCCTGCAGGAACGCAACCCCCCGCTCATCACAGAGAGCCTCATCATCTCGCTGCAGGTGCAGCTCATGCAGCTGGACCCCACCATGCACCACCACTTCTGGAATCAGGACACTAGTTCCAGCTGGTGGGACCGGCTGTCGGATGACCAGCAGTAGCTCCAGAATTTCCACATGAGGAAGGACACCTTTCTGGAGCTGTGTGAGAGGCTCACCCCTGCCCTCAGGCAATGGGACTCCCACATGTGACCCACCATCCCCCTCAAGAAGCAGAATAGATTATTCCATCCGGAAGCTCGCCACACCGGACAGCTACTGATCCATCAGGAATCAGTCTGGTATGGGGAGATCAATCGCGGGGCTCTGTCATGCAGGTATGGTGCTCTCAGGCCATTGTCCCAGGAGGGTGATGAAGTGCTGGAAAGGGGTACCCTAGGGAAAGGGAGGGGTGGAGATGGTGGAAGCCACCTTCCCGGGAGGTTTTTCATTCCTGCCCGCACAAAGCCCTGCATTGCTCCTGGTGTGTGGAGCAGAGTGGATGGACTCGGGGACTTCCCAAGGGCTCTGGCCACCCTCTGATTCTCCTTATACAGGTGGTGAGGGCCATCAACACTGTCCTGCTGCACAGGGTCATCAACCTGGGCGACCTGAACCCTATCGTTGCCAGCTTTGCTGACGCGGGCTTCCCCAACTGCAGGGGCCTATTGACAGCACCCATATCCCCATCCAGGCCCCTGACCACCGGGCATCTCTGTTCATCAACCGGAAGAGGTACTTTTCAATGGTCCTGCAGGCTGTCACAGACCACCATGGCCGGTTCACGGGCATCTACATCAGGTGGTTGGGGAAGGCGCACAACTCCCGCTTCTTCCACAACTACAGTGTCTTCCAGAAGCTGCACCCTGGCACTTTTTTCCCTGATTGCACCATCAGCATTGGGGACATGGACATGTCTATGTGCATTGTAAGAGACACGGCTTACCCTCTGTTGCCCTGGCTAATGAAGCTCTACACCAGACACCTTGACTCCATCAAGGAACAGGCTCAGCAGGACCCACATAGTAGTGGAGCATGCCTTTGGACATCTGAAGGTGAAGTTCCATTACCTCCTCACCTGGCTAGATGTCAGAGAGTGGAACATCCCACAAGTGATGGCCACGTGTTTTGTCCTTCACATTATATGTGAAAGGAAGGGGGAGATGTTCCTGCCAGGGTGAGGGGGCAGAGGTTGGCTGGATAGGCAGGGCCTTTGAGTACCACTGCCATCCGGCATCCAGGAGGCCCTGAGGGACAGTTTCTCACAAGGACCCCAGTGACACTCTCCCCTGGGCATCCCCACTAGGGCTTGTGCATTG